TATTCAGGTACAAACTATCGAATATAGGGCTGTTCGTGCACTTCTACCGAACAAGAAGGGAGGTCAGCGGCTTCAGCGGTGTTCACGACAAAATGTATCCATTTTCAGTTCCATGAGTTGGGCGTTGAACACCGCTGTGCATTCGCATGTTTAAAATGGCCGCGACCTCGTGTTCGGTATACGAATGGCAGCCACCCAGCATTCGTCAATTAAGCTGCGGTTAACCACAGCTTCTGGGAGGATAATTGCCGACACACTCCAGCTCCCAGGTGGTCTAGTCATTCGTGTGTTAGTTCAGTAGATTGAATCTACCAAACACCAGGCAGAAAGGCACGAATAAGTCTTTTCTGCAGGGGAAAAATAAGGCTTTTAACATGGGGCCATAATCCAAAGGCAACAGGCGAGCAACCAGGCTTCTCCAATGCAATGTGGCGAGATTGGTCTCGTCACACAATCTTCTACAGAAACAATATTTCCTCAATCCGAGCCTCTATCACAACAGACCTGTTACGCTACTGGAGTGATTTGAATTGGAACTCAACTGCAGCTTGTAAACTCCCTAATTACAATTGTGAAGAAACTGAGAATCTATAAGTTTCAATACTGTAGCTTTAAGAAAAGAGAGAATCACTGCTAACTTGATTCAACCAAAGTTTTAATAAGTGTTAAACTTAAATGAATTGCATGTAGGCAATAATCCAATAAGAAGAAGTGCAAGTAATCAACAACACAAAGTCCATTATTAAGTATTTCTTCAAAGATGCATTAAGTAACATTCTTTGGTTAATGAGAATAATCTTCAATAGTAACTTTAAGCAAGTAGCTAATAATATTTGCAAAGCAAGAACAGTTCATAGGGAATAAGCATGATGGGAGTTGTCCTCCATATAATTAGTAGCTTGAAGCAGTGAAGATTTGAGTAAGCAAGCATTAGTTCATTATTAAATGATATTGTAGACAAATAGCTGAAAGATATACTTAAGGTTAACATGTGTAGTCCTCCAATAGTTCAGAGATATGGTCCACTTGTAAAGTAGCAAAGTATCCGTTCTCCAGTAATCCTTTATAGCATGCAGCAGAGGTAAGTCTGGTGGAAGTAGCTCCCAGTAGCTGAGCCTGTGGAGCCCGCAGAACCAGCTCATACACAAATCACCAAGCACCCTTTCTCTGGCCCAGTCTCCCTAAATACCATCAGAGCTGTGTCAGAGGGGGGCGGGGTTCGGCTCCTCACAGCTGAGTGCCGAACCCTGAAGTGTTACTCCATGACAAGACCAAACAGTTACACACCAGAACCACTACAATGGAATGCCAGATTGACCCACTTTTACAAATGTGGATATAAAGGAAGTTAAAAGAACCATGCCAAAGTTATACCCTACTACGTGTGACTTAGACCCTGCTCCAACACAGCTCATATCTGGATGCATTGAAACACTCACCCCAGCCCTCACAAAAATAGTGCAGTTTTCACTAAAAACTGGAGATTTCCCAGATCCTCTAAAAGAAGCTGTGGTAAAACCACTCCTAAAGAAACCTTTATTAGATCCAGACTGCATGGTTAATTACAGACCAGTATCCAACCTTCCATTTCTGGGGTAAATAATTGAAAACAATTGTGGCAATTCAACTGGAGACCAATCTATCAAGCTTGAACATATTTGATCCTTTCCAGTCAGACTTCAGATGACGCCACAGCACTGAATCAGCGCTAGTCCAAGTGCTAAATGATCTCCTTATGGCGAGAGACAAAGGTGATTACTCCATCTTAACCCTCTTGGATCTCTCAGCTGCATTTGACATCATTGACCATAGGATTTTAATAGAGCACTTGCAGCACATCTGTGGTCTGGAGGCACAGTACTTAACTGGTTTAAATCTTTCCTTGTTGGTAGATCACAGAGAGTAAAATCAGGATCAAGTGCATTGACACCAACAGAACTTACCTGCAGAGTTCTACAAGGATCCATCTTGTCTCATGCTATTTACAATTTACTTGCTACCACTGTGGGACATCATTAGGCCACATGGCCTAAGGTATCATTGTTACGCTGATGACACACAACTCTACTTCTCCTTTGCTCCAGATACCACAGACCCAACATGCCGCATCAACAGTTGCTTAGCAGACCTCATAGAATGGATGAATGCTAGTTGGCTTAAAGTGAACCCGGACAAAACAGAGTTACTCTTGGCGAAGGGACCCCGGGCAACAAAAATATCCCATTATCACCCAACTGGCTTGGAACTTGGAGGCTCTGAAATCGTTAATTCATCAAAGGTACGACACCTCGGAGTGCTGATTGACTCTGGACTATCATTTAAACAGCAGATTTCATCCGTAATAAAATCTGCCTACTTTCATCTTAAAAAACATAGCCAGTATAAAACATTTAATTCTGCCGGATGATATGCCATCATTAATCAATGCATTTGTATCCTCTCAGCTAGATTACTGCAATGTACTTTACTTGGGCCTCCCAGAAAAAGAACTCCATCGCCTTCAGACGGTACAAAATGCAGCAGCCAGACTACTGACCAATCAAACTCACTCCTGCCATATAACATCTGTTCTCCACTCCCTGCATTGGCTTCCAATTAAATGGCAAACATATTTTAAAATTGGCCTGCTAACCTTCATAGCCTTAAACATTCAAGGCCCACAGTACCTGAAAGAGCTCCTGACACCCTATATTCCATTCTGTTCACTTCATGCTGCCAGCAAATCCCTTCTATCAGTGCCAAGAATAAAGACAAACTCAGGTTCCAGGACATTCAGCCACGCTGCCCCTACCTTCTGGAACTCTTTACTGTGCGCAATCCGAGAGGAACCATCTTAGAGTCTTTTAAAAAAAAAAAAAAAAAGCTAAAGACCCACCTCTTCCATCAAGCATTTAGTCCGCTCATCTGACCTTCAGAAACTCCTAACTTTTATGTCTTTATGTTTGTTTGTTTATTTGTAAAGTGCTTCCAGCTGGAAGACCACCCCACCACGACTCCCTATCACCAGGCCTCGTGGGACATCTTTTGTTTCAGCTTCTACCTCAGGGAGAGGGGGAGCTAGTGCCATTTCTGCGCAAGGAGATATTTGCAGAGGTTTTATTTGCAACCAAGTGGGGCACAGCAGTCTCACTTGCCCTGGGAAATGGCAGCCAGCATCATCAGTGGGGTGGGACGCTCCTCAGACCGTTTGTAACCAGATCAGAGGGCAGCAACAATGTGAATGCGTGCCAGTCTGAGCCAGAACCAGAAGTGTCTGCAATATCTTGTGAGAGTGTGCCAAGACAAAGTCACTGGGAGGAAGTGCAGTATGAGCATGCGTGCCAGGCTGTGCCAAAACCAGAGGTGTCTGTGGTGCCTGGTGAAAGATTGCAAGGACAACTTTGCTGGGAGGCAGGGCAGATTGTGTGTTAGTCTGTGCCAGAGCCAGAGATGTCTGCAATACCATGTGGGAACGGTCAAAAACAGGGAGGTAGGCAGGATGAGCGTGTGTGCCTATCTGTGCCTATCTAGCCAGGGTTGTTTGAGATGCCATTGGGAGTCAGTTGGTATTTTCACCTGTGTCTCAACCACAAATGTACAGGAAAAGTGTTCTAGGGAGAGGAGGCTGAGTATGTGTGTGTGTGTGTGTATATATATATATATATATATATATATATATATATATATATATATATATATATTTAGCTTTTCCAATAGTGATGACTGCACTCCTCGGGCTGCTTTATTAGATACATTAAAAAGATTTCGGCCCCACTCTGGGCTTTCTTCAGGATCAAAAGTTACACACAATAAAAATATACAAACTGGACTGACTTATATACCATAAGTAAAATAAATCATGAACTCACCACAGCTGTTGGTACTTCCCGATCTGCGTCCCTCTGTCAACAGTACGCATGTGCACTACCGGCCAATCAGGGCTGCTCTGCAAACATGTTATATACTCTAATCATAATAAAGTGTTTAAAAGAGCTAACCATACTCTGTACAAACAACCAAGACGCATCACCGCGGCAACCTGAATACACATTGCCGTGCTGCCATGGTGATCTGTGGACGCCGTGGGGGCTGTATACTACCGCACCGATCCATTTAAAACCGATCAGTGCGCAACTGCCGTTGGAGAGAAAAATGGGAAAAAATTCAAATTGATAGGTTTATTGTTAAATGTTTGTACAGAGTATGGTTAGCTCTTTTAAACACTTTATTATGATTAGAGTATATAACATGTTTGCAGAGCAGCCCTGATTGGCTGGTAGTGCGCATGCATACTGTTGACAGAGGGACGCCGATCGGAAAGTACCAACAGCTGCGGTGAGTTCATGATTTATTTTATTTTATTTATTTTACTTATGGTATATAAGTCAGTCCAGTTTGTATATTTTTATTGTGTGTAACTTTTGATCCTGAAGAAAGCCCAGAGTGGGGCTGAAACGTTGATCTTTTTAATGTATCTCTAATAAAGCAGCATTTGATTTTACAACAAGCCCGAGGAGTGCAGTCATCACTATTGGAAAAGCTATATGATTCAGCCAGCTGACTTTGGCACCCGGCAACAATAAGAATAAGAAGCGTGAGTGCAAGGAACCTTTTTGCTTTTATATATATATATATATATATATATATTGTGTGTAATATATGTGTATATATATATATATATATATATATAATTTGTGGTCAGGGAAATAGGCAGAGTAATCAGGCATGTAAATAAAGAGGGCAAAAAGGTGTAAGCAAAGCAACTTTAATACATATTTCACCATGCTGATATGTAGTTTTTATCATTATTTGATTATATATATCAAGTCTTTGTACGAGTTCTTTTTCCGGTTGGGGTATATACCGGTTGTACACTGATTACTTCCATCGTCCTTGTTTTTTGATGATGTGTACTGGAATATTCTGACGAGATACGGCTGTTGCTGCGCCTATGCAAAATGAATGACGGCTGAAAGCTGATGGATCACAACCTATTTTTGAAAAGAGAGTTTGTATGTATACCATGAATTTGGATGTTGTTAGGGGGTTACCATGGAGGCTTGGAAGGGGGCGTTTTTGCTTTGAACTCTTAGTTTCCAGTAAAGCTGGTCAAATAACTGCACCTGCACCATTTATTGCCTGTGGGGTGTGGGTACATAGGTATGTCGACAGGTGGCCCTGTTTGATTTGTTTTGGATTGCCGAAGTGTCAGGACGTATTGGTCCCCTACTTTGTTTAGGTCAGCCATTTTTAGCATTTTTATGGTATCATTAGTCTTTTCAACTGTAAATGCGTTTGTCATAAGAACCCGTAGAAGGCAAGAGAAGTAGTGATTTTTGGATTGTGTTGTTTGTTTCGATTTCGAACGGTAGCGTATTCAATGTGTTGGATAATGCTTGGAATTTGTTAGCGTCTATGGTTTGTAGTTTTGTGGGTTTGTGATCTTCTAATCGTAGGATACCTTTTAGGATGTTTTTTTTTATCGGGTTTGAAGACATGAAGGTACTGTGAATAGGGTATGTGTTTATGATATGGTATTGTATACCTGTGAGATATAGTTTTATCATATTGTATGCTAATTTTATACTCATGTGGCAAAGGGATGTAAATGTAATCATAGTATCTAATGACATCGGGTTTGTGATATTGTATTCCATAACAAATCTATTGAAGATGGTTAAGGCTCGATTGTGTGAGCGTCTGGTATTGGCTGAGAGTGCCGATTTTGTCAGCATTCTACCATGCGCCATGAGTATAGCTAGTCCAGGAATAGCGGTGGTCTGTTCAGGGTTCTCTCGGCTGTGGGATGTTCTTGGTAGAAAACCTGTAGGTTAGAACAAGAGAGGGCATCAGCTGCTGTGTTGTGATATCCCGTTACATGTTCGCAAGTGAAGTGCAAGTGTTGTGTGGCTGCCAACCACATGAGTCTTCTGACTAGTCTCATGATGTTTATTATGTCGCATGACACGGTGTTTGTATAGCATTTTACTGCCTGTCCTTTCTAAAGGTGTCCCCACACTTGGGCTGCTGCCACTATTGGGTAAATCTCAAAAAGAGCAGAAGTGCTTATGAATTATGGCAAACTTACTGTCTCTATTGGCCATGCATCTCTGAAATGGCTGCGTAACCTGAGTGGGCTGCTGTGTCTGTTCACACCACCGAGGAGTTCCCTGTAAAAGGTGGTGCCGTTCCAGGGAGCCAAAAATTGACTCCACATAGTTAATATTCAAAATTGACTCCCTGGCCTGTCCATCCAGTGTGACTATGCTTTGGTAACAGACTGAGTAGTCTGGATATGAACGCGCATCCTTGTGGGATTATTGTGGGATTATTTTCATGGCAAAATTCAGAGAACCTAAGAGGGATTGAAGGTGTTTCCAAATTTAATTACCTTTACTGATGAATAACTCTACCTCTGTCCTGATTCTCTGAACTTTGTCTACGGGGAGACTTGCCTGCATGGCGACTGATTCTACAGTTTTGTCCATGGCTACCGGTACTCCTAATGTTGAAAAGAGTGCTATTGTTTTTGTTATGCTTAGAGGCGTGGATTCAGGGTTTTTTTATGGTCAGAAAGTCATCTAGGTAGTGAATTACGACTGGACAGCCACTGACATTCAATAAGAGCCAGCAAAGCGTTTCTGAGAACATATCGAATAACTTTGGGCTACTCTTTGTCCTGAAAGTTAGATGGTTGGCGAAATAGTAAAGGCCTTTCCATTTTATTCTGTGAAGATGCCACAGTGACTGATGTATTGGAAGTAGTTTGAAGGCGTTGGATATGTCGGTTTTCCCTAGCCAATCTGCCTCCTCCGCCTCCAATATAACCTGTTTGGCATTGTCATACTGCAAGGAAAATTTCTCTGAAGGTATTAGTAAGTTTAGACTTGGTATGACAACTGAATGAGGAGCCGAAAGGTCTATTAATAAACGTTTTTTTAATATTTTCCAGTCGCGATGCCTATTGGGTTGGTTCGCCAACATGAGAGTGGTGGTGTTTGGAATGGCCCAATCATGAAGCTTTTTCCTACCTCTGTGCTTAATAGTGTGTCTACTGATGTAAAGGCCAATTCTTGTCAACTGTTAGTTGTTACATTCTATAGTGCCTACTGGTAGTGCAATTAACCCTGTATGGAACACTTCTGTGAATCCCGTGATTAGGAAGCAAGTGTGTCAACCTATACCTCAGTTAATCATTTTTGGGAAAAAAGGTTTGGACACATAGTATTGGCGTGGGCTCAGAAACAGATGGAGCAGAAACAGTGGTGGGTAATCTAGGCTCGTTGGAGCACAAATTGGTAGCATGAGAGTTGGAAGGGTAAATGGTACAAGTCTGTAGGGAAGTAGGGACAGAACAACTCAGTGTCCATATGGCTCCAGTCTATCCTGATGTTAAACTGAGGAAATTTTGCTGCTACCTTTGCTGAAAAAGACTTGAGGTAATCGTAAAATGTGGTGCCACTGTACTTGTTCCCCAGGTCTACCAATTTGTGCATGTACAGGTCTAGTTCCTCTCTGCGCTGGGGGAAATTAAAGCAAATTACGTCTCTGTACAAACCGAATGCTATTACGAGGTCTGGTATGGATAGTTTTTGTTTAGTCTGGGATCTTTCACTTTGAGCACCACTGACAGGTCACTGTAATTGTACATTTTATTTTCGACTAGGTCTTGTGATGCTATCAAAAAGGACATCAGGTTTACGTCCTTTTCCTCCAATATGTCTTTCTTAATGTTGGGAGGGACCATGTGTTCCAGTGTGATGATATCTGTAGCAGAACCCTGTGTGGTTGGTGTGGCAGTGACATTACCCTATGTGACGGTTTGGTTGGTGGTTAGTGTGGGTAGGACATGTGTGGGAGTTACAGTAGCTGGTGTTGATGATTCCAACATCTACATCCTTTGATTTAAATTATTTATGGATGACAGAATCGAAGACATTATGGCCTGTATCCCAGTTAGGGTGTCATTTATATTGGCTTGCGTACTGGTCCCTGGTTGTGGATTATCAGAATTGGACATCATGAGCCTATATAATTCCGCCTTCCTGGCGGTGGCTGGGTATGGTATGCCCTTATCTTTAGTTCTGAGGCAATCTTTGGGATGGTCCATGACATCAAGAAGCAGGGACTTGAATGGTCTTTGTCTTCGCCCGCATTAGGGGCCGCGGTTGGTGTGGGTGGTCTAGCTGGTGTGCTGGGTAGTAAGAAGTCCTCTCCTTGGTCTGACAAGTGAGAAATAAACATAATGAAATTAAAATGAGACTTATGATTACACTGGCGTCTGTTTTAATGCCTGGTGGCGAAGAACCTATCAATGCGTGGGATGGTGAGGCCCTGCTTATTTCCAAGTGGCTGGTAGAGGCGCGGTCTATGATTTAGCCCTGTGCTGTGCAATGAAATGATGGCGGGGTGTAGGCCTTTGGAGAGCTTGAGAAGACAGCGGGTAGGGAAAGTGATGCCCTAACTACACCTCTTAGTAGAGTATTGCGAGACTCTAGCTATGATTTGGGCGGATGGGCGAAAATACCTCTGTGTGAGGATGGGTGTTAGACTCGCGGGCCTTTCCACGTATTTATTTTTTCTGACTCAGGGCTATTTTGGTACCCCAACTGCCAGTTAATGCTATGTGGACAAAGTTAGGAAGGAAATTAGCATTCCTGTGTTTTTTGAGAGGTGTTATGACTTGAATGGGGTGTCTGTTACGCTACTTGGGGTGATTTGGATTGAAACAACTGCAGCTTGTAAACTCCCTAATTACAATAGTGAAGAAATGGAGAATCTTTAAAGTATCAATACTGTAGCTTTAAGAAAAGAGAGAATTGCTGGTAACTTGATTCAAAGGAAGTTTTCATAAGTGTTAAACTTAAATGAATTGCATTTAGGCAATAATCCAATAAGAAGAAGTGCAAGTAATCAACAACACAAAGTTCATTATTAAGTATTTCTTCAGAGATGCATTAAGTAACATCCTTTAAGTTCATGAGAATAATCTTTAATAGAAACAATAAGCAAGTAGCTAAGAATATTTGCAGAGCAAGAACAGTTCATAGTGAATAAACATGATGGGAGTTGTCCTCCATATAATTAGTAGCTTGAAGCATTGAGTGTCTTTGCAAAGCAAGAAACAGTTCATAGTGAATAAACATGATGGGAGTTGTCCTCCATATAATTAGTAGCTTGAAGCAGTGAAGATTTGAGTAAGCAAGCATTAGTTCATTATTAAATGATATTGTAGACAAATAGCTGAAAGATATACTTAAGGTGTAGTCCTTCAATAGTTCAGAGATATGGTCCACTTGTAAAGTAGCAAAGTATCCGTTCTCCAGTAATACTTTATGGCATGCAGCAATCCTTGCATTGGCTCAAAGGCTGGAACGGCTTGTCTGAGCTTGTGAAGAGGTAAGTATGTGGAAGTAGCTCCCAGTAGATGAGCCTGTGGAGCCCTCGGTCTTGTGGAGGCAGCTCACACATTAGCTCACACACAATCACCATCTCTCTGGCCCAGTCTCCCTAAATACCGTCAGAGCTGTGTCAGAGGGGGGCGGAATCCGGCTCCTCACAGCTGAGTGCCGAACCCGGAAGTGTTACTCCATGACAGTGTCTAATTTGTTAGTATTTGCCACTTGTTGAAAAGCCAAGACTGTGGTTGGTACTTTACCACGATCGTGTGGATGATTATTATTTGTTCAAATGTATACATACCTGGGTACGTTGATCCTCCTCTTAACGGGTTGTGATTATTGTGGTGTTACTTCTGGTCCTAGTAGATTGTGGGATGGAAATTACATCTTATTCTTCCACTTGGGCCATGTTGGGGTGTTTATGTTATACTGATCACTGTGTGTGTGTTTGTGTAGTCTGAGTTGTGTATGATTTGAAGCGTACTGGTCGACCTACGTGTGGATTGCCGCATAACAAACTTATTTGTGAACTAATCCATGACAAGTATAACATTGAACACCCAAAAAACAAAAATAAATCGTTCTTACACATTACCATGGTAACTACTGTAGTGAACGGGCTTGTTTTTTTTTGGTGTAGTTAGCAGGTTTTGACTGGGGGTGGTGGTGTTATACCATATGTATTGTGCTTTGTAACATGAATTGTGCCTAACGAACTGCTTAGTTTAGTTTGTACGAGGTAGCCATATGTGGTTCTTATGAGAATTACCGAGTGTTTAGGAGTTAGTGCAATTTTAGTTTTTTCCGTGTTCGTGCCAATTCCATGTGTTTTCGTATGAATGGGTTACATGTGCGTATTGTGGTACGGTATTTTAACACGTGTTCATGTGTACTTACTGTTGGCGGGTCCTGTCAGCTGACCGGGAAGGTTCCCCGGGAGTTTAGTGGCGCTGGGAGCGACAGAGCTCTGATCTCCGTGGTACACGGGTCTGCTGAAAGTCGGACAGTATCTGGAAACCACCAGGTAGGCTCTTTTGTCGAAACCGGAACCAGAAGTGACCAATCAACCGGTAGGAAGGTAAGTTTGTGTTTATGTAGGCCGGGTCATGCCCTCCCACAACTCCAGACTGTGCCTTCCCATACACCGTTGCAAGAAAAAGTATGTGAACCCTTTGGAATGATATGGATTTCTGCACAAATTGGTCATAAAATGTGATCTGATCAGCATCTAAGTCACAACAATAGACAATCACAGTCTGCTTAAACTAATAACACACAAAGAATGAAATGTTGCCATGTTTTTATTGAACACACCATGTAAACATTCACAGTGCAGGTGGAAAAAGTATGTGAACCCTTGGATTTAATAACTGGTTGAACCTCATTTGGCAGCAATAACTTCAACCAAACGTTTCCTGTAGTTGCAGATCAGACGTGTCAATTACAAGTCAGGAGTAATTCTTGACCATTCCTCTTTACAGAACTGTTTCAGTTCAGCAATATTCTTGGGATGTCTGTGAATCGCTTTCTTGAGGTCATGCCACAGCATCTCAATCGGGTTGAGGTCAGGACTCTGACTGAGCCACTTCAGAAGGCGTATTTTCTTCTGTTTAAGCCATTCTGTTGTTGATTTACTTCTATGCTTTGGGTCATTGTCTTGTTGCAACACCCATCTTCTGTTGAGCTTCAGATGGTAGACAGATGGCCTTAAGTTCTCCTGCAAAATGTCTTGATAAACTTGGGAATTCATTTTTCCTTTGATGATAGCAATCCGTCCAGGCCCTGACCCAGCAAAGCAGCCCCAAACCATGATGCCCCCACCACCATACTTCAAAGTTGGGATGAGGTTTTGATGTTGGTGTGCTGTGCCTTTTTTTCGCCACACATCGTGTTGTGTGTTTCTTCCAAACAACTCAACTTTGGTTTCATCTGTCCACAGAATATTTTGCCAGTACTGCTGTGGAACATCCAGGTGCTCTTGTGCAAACTGTAAACGTGAAGCAATGTTTTGTCTGGACAGCAGTGGCTTCCTCTGTGGTATCCTCCCATGATATCCATTATTGTTTAGTGTTTTACGTATTGTAGATTCACTAACAGGGATGTTAGCATTTGCCAGTGACTTTTGTAAGTCTTTAGCTGACACGCTAGGATTCTTCTTCACCTTATTGAGCAGTCTGCGCTGTGCTCTTGCAGTCATCTTTACAGGACGGCCACTCCTAGGGAGAGTAGCAGCAGTGCTGAACTTTCTCTATTTAAAGACAATTTGCCATTACCGTGGACTGATGAACAGCAAGGCTTTTGGAGATACTTTTATAACCCTTTCCAGCTTTATGCAAGTCAACAATTCTTAATCGTAGGTCTTCTGAGAGCTCTTTTGTGCGAGGCATCATTCACATCAGGCAATGCTTCTTGTGAAAAGCAAACCCAGAACTGGTGTGTGTTTTTTATAGGGCAGGGCAGCTGTAACCAACACCTCCAATCTCATCTCATTGATTGGACTCCAGTTGGCTGACATCTCACTCAAATTAGCTCTTGGAGATGTCATTAGTCTAGGGGTTCACATACTTTTTCCACCTGCACTGTGAATGTTTACATGGTGTGTTCAATAAAAACATGGCAACATTTCATTCTTTGTGTGTTATTAGTTTAAGCAGACTGTGATTGTCTATTGTTGTGACTTAGATGATGATCAGATCACATTTTATGACCAATTTGTGCAGAAATCCATATCATTCCAAAGGGTTCACATACTTTTTCTTGCAACTGTATATGTGCTAAGATGTGCGTGTTTCACATCCTGTTCTGTGGAGATGTCTGGCCTTGGCTTCTGGTATCCAGTACTCTTTTTACAATTCTTGTTTAGTTTTTCTGGTTTTCTATTCTATGTCTGGATCTTGCCTGTGGACCACGGTTCCATTGGAGGCAATTACACAGTCTGGGGACAGATCCTCTGTTTTAGAGAAGGAAACTTTAGGGGAGACAGAAGCGGAAGATTGGAAGGTAGCCACAGCAGCATCCTTTTGAGGCTCTGGAACAGGAGCAGGGTTAGCCAGGGCTGTGATGGTGGCATTGGTCTGGTTAAGTGGTCATTTTGGTCCATTAGCTGCCATGGAGGACTTGCTGGATTGTGACACAGAGCCCCTACATGGCTATGATTAGGGCAAGAAGGATGTATCGGGCACTAGCTGATGTAGTGGCCTCCCTTGCCACAATAGAAGCAAAGGCTCTCCTTCTGGCCTTTTCATTTACCGTGAGCATGGTATTCAGTGTTCCAATTTGCATGGGTGCCTCTATGTCCATGGTGGGGATAGGGGTATAGGTCTCACCAGCAGGTTTGGAACATTGATGGGGGAAAAAGCTGGTTTCAAATTTCTCCCGCTTTCTTTCTCTGAACCGGCGATCTAGCTGGGTGACCAGAAGGAACAGATCTTCCAATGAAGTGGGTATCCAAACTCTGGCTAGTTCATCTTTTAAGTCGGTACTGTTCTATCAGGCCAATTTCGTTATAACCAGTGTCAGAAGCCAATTCCTGGAAATCCATGGTGTAATCCTCCACGGGTCTTTCTTCCTGCCGTCGGGAACGGAGGCCAGTGCGTGCATCAGAGGGTCTCAAGGTGTCATGGTATAACGTATGCATTGCTGCAGCAAAGGAGTACCATGAGTCCAGTATTGGACTGTTGGAGTGCAGGAGTTGGTGTGCCCAGGTTTGGGTTTTACCCGACAGCAGAGCAATTGTAGTGTGAACCTTCACATAATCATTGAGGTATGTGTGTGGTTTTAAAGTGAAGAGCAGTTCGCAGGCTGTGTTAAATGATCGCAGTTCAGTCTTTTTCCAGTGAACTTGTCAGGTAATGAAATATCAGGTTCAGGAGCATGGTGTGTATTCCCCTTTAACTCAGCAAAACCACGCTGCAATTCACTTACGGTTTGGGACAGGAGGGTCACTTGCTGTGTGAGGGTACTCAGGACATTCATCATCTCCACGGGCTCCATGGTAGTCGATCTGGTCATTATGTAACAGTCACCAGGGGACTTATGGAACAGTTTACCAGGAGTTGGAGCCCAGTTGCAGGAGATGGCACAGGAAGCAGGCAAAATCCAAAACACAGTACAGATTAAGGGAAAATCCAAAGGCAGGGTGAGGCAAGAAGCACAAGTCAGGGCTGGCAGTGGAGTAACAAAGTTGGTAAATCAGGCAGAGGTCAGAGTCCAGGAAATCAGTCAGTGGCAAATCAAAGATCCGGCAGGAAACACCAAACAGGCAAAATGATACTAGCTTTCAGTCAGGGCTGGCTTTTACAGCCTGCTAATTAGATGCAGCTGACCCTAATTGGAAAAAGGTTGCAGGTGGATCAGTACTGCATAATCCAGGCAAGGGGTCAGGAAGTAAAATAATGCAGACAGAAACTGAAGCTCTGGTGGACAGCAGGGCAGAGAACATGACTGGGATGGGGGAGCTGTAAGTTCAAACCCAGCCAGGTCTCTTAAAGGGGTGGCAACGCCTTGCTGTCTGCAGGGCTCAGGCTGTGCCCTGCCACAAGCAGTGGTCTCATTACCTCTGCTCCTTTCTTTGCAGGTAAGTACTGTGTGTTTTATTTAGTTATGCATATCTAGGCAGTTAGGACCCACCATAATTGGAGTACTTTGGTGTAGTGGTGGGTTTGTCAGGATCGAGACAGGAATCCAACACGCAGAATACTAACAACTATAAAGACGTATACCGGACCTAAGAGTGGCCGGACTAACGTCACACAAACAAAGAATGGTCAGGAACAAGCCAAGGTCGAGGGAACGAGAAGACAGGTAAGCAAAAGCCAAGCCGAGTACAAGGGTAGGAGAAAGTAGTAAGGTCAGTATACAAATCCAAGTCAATAACCAAAAATCAATCACAGAAATAGCACTGAGGGAACAGACAAGCTGGAACCATGACCTTTTATACCTTGGCTCTTTAAATGATGTCCACGCCCCCAAAACGTCCTGATTCGAACTTTTCGGCGGGCCATGACGTCATTGACGTCATGACGTCGGCGAAGTTGCGCCGCGTCATAAAAGGGGGCGGGGCTATCGCGGCCGGCGTCTAAATGGCCAAAATGGCTGAAGAAGATGGGTGCCTGTGTGCCTTCCTGAGAATGGGCGTCCAGATGCCCAACCTCCTCTACAGTGGCTACAACAGGTATCATTACAGGGGTGCATACATCTTATGTATGTCTAAATCTCCAATGTTTTACATATATAGTACTTTTGTCTTCCCAGTTCATGTACAGTCTCCTCTTGTTTTGCCTTGCATCTCTTGTCTGGTTTTATTTTGTCTTCCCAGTTCATGTACAGTCCTGTCCTGCCTTGTTCATGTTTCCCTCATGCCTTGTGTACATGTTCTGGGTTCTGTTTTCTGTCCTGCTCCAGTTCTGGGTTCTTCTAGTTCTGCCTTGTTATCTTGTTTGGTGCCTGTTCTAATCTTGCCTTGTTTCTAGCACTGGCTACATTTCAGCTGCAGAGCCTCCCTATCCAATTCCTGGGAGGTCTGCATATCCTCAAGCACCTGGGATCCGCAGAAGCTGCATCAGGGCCCTGGTATGTGGCCGCACAAACACTGGTGCTCAACATCAGGGGGCGTGTGGTTACCCTGCACCAGGCACTGATAGCCCATTTCCACGCTGAGACTCCGATCATCATCAGGCACTCAGGGGTCCCAGTCTCAGTACCATCACCCGTGACAGCCTGAAGCAAATGTATCCACTGTGCTGTGTGAAAATGTGGAGGGAGAGCATGGCTGGGAGGGTGAGCCTTACTCTGTGCCTGATTCAGCCAGTTCCCAAGGTTCTGTTTGTGTGAGGACATGGAGTGAAAGCGAGGGAGAGACAGAGGTTGCATTGGTAGAAAAGTCGACCCATCCACAGTCTGCCAAAAAGTGAAGAACCGGGACACACTCAGCCTGTGGGTCCATGGAGCATGGCTGCAGGGGAGCCTACTGTTAGGGGAACCAGGAACCTTGTCAGCTTACCACAATCACACCACACACATGGTATCATATCCAAAAGAAACATTAATACTTACTCACAAAATAATAACTAGGCCTCATTTTTATTATATTTTGAATGGGACGAGCACAGTCTTCTAATCAAGCCTAAACATGAGTTGCGGTACTGACACCGTTGGGTGGGATTGTGATGTCCGCTATATTGGATCACAAGTAAGAAGTATGATATATGTATGGAATGGTGTGACAGAACCATCTGTCTGCTTGGATTTTTACTACGTTCGTCTGTTTGTCCCCCGTTCGTATGAATGGCTGGTTTATATGGCCCAGCCATTCGAATGACTCTTTTTCCCGAACAAACCTGCCGAACGAACGGCCACCCAAGTGAGGAGTGTGCTGCTGGTTAACGAAGTGATCCCAATTAGAACGTGTGGTTAACCGCAGACACTTCTTAATTAAACCGAATTCAGGGTGGTCGTCGTTCGTATGTCGACCACGAGGCAGCGGCCATTTTAAATCAAGCGAACGCCCAGCGGTGTTTGGCTCTATTTCTATGGAACTGAAAACGGACACTTTTTCTGCCGAACACCGCTGAAACAACGGAACGCCTGGCTGCCTCCACTAAAGCATGCGAACACCGGCCGTTCGGGAGATTGAGAGCATACGAAAAGACTTAACCCAGATAGCCTCCCATGGAGTCATTCGTATACCGAAAGACTGTAAGAACTTTGACTCCATGGCGATTGAACTATGTGTGTGGGATCTGAGCGCTATTCGCTAATAATATGCACTCAGATCCAGGCTATCTGGGGACATGTAATACGAATGGGAAATGTTCAGTTTTTATGTAGTTATGTATTTTTATGTCTTTTATTATTTTATGTCTAAGATGGCGACTGGCTTTGTCCTGGAGTTAATTGAGTTACTTGGTAATTAACTCCAGGGCAGAGGGGAGGGAATCATAATGCACTGTGAGTAAAATCTGTGACTGTGTGTCTGGGATGTCCCCAGATCTGTCTGTAATTTAAGTCTCCCATTTGGTCCCCTAGGGGAGTGTCCACCAAGTGGGAGACCTGCATAAATACGGGCAGGTAGCCCACAGTAAAGCCAGATTCTGTTTGACCCTCAATGCGGAGCTTCTGTCTCGTTATTGGGGGGGATTTCTTCTTCACGTTTAGAGACTGCTGGATGGAACGAAAGCCGCTTGGTGAATATTGCTGTTCGACGGTTACCAGGAGTTCGTGTATTGCCGTTCGGGAGTTTGGAGCCATTCAAGGATCTCGTTCGGGAGATTGCCGCTTCCCCTGCATTTGGTTCGTATATTACAGATTAAGCGAACGGAGACTGTACTGCAGCCGGGGAAGGTCTACTAAACGGCGGTTTGGCTTAAAGACACTAGAGGTGTCTTAACAATTGGTGGCAAGCGACGGGATGAATCTCACAGCATTGGAGGTCAGCTACAAGACATGCAGTATGAGGAATTAAGGCGAGCTACACTTAAGGACATATTGGAACGCCGAGGAAGGTCAGCAAGCAATTTAAAGAAACGGGAGATTATTGCTTTGCTACTGGAGATGGATGCAGCAACGGGAATGGAGAGAGTCAACGTGCCCAGTACCTTGGATTTAACACCCGAGGAAATACAATTTAACCGGGCAGTGCAAATAAGGCTGGCACATTTTGGCCCCAACCCCTCA